CGTCTACTTCGAGGCTTTTCAAAAGTAGTGGAAGTGGAGATTGTAGATCATCGTGACGGTAATGACAGGAAAGGGGTGTTTGGACGAGATTTAACATGCTCCCATTGCGCAAAGAGGTAACTACATAAAGCCGAAATTGTCCGAAAATGCCTTTCACTGTCGCCATGGGTCTTGTCAAGTTGTTTGAACATCCTACATGGTAGTCTCTTTAGTTAGTGCAGCCTCTACAAAGTCGTCGAAGCTCGTCCACGATGGGTGTGGCATTCACTCGATACAACCTTTGATCCCTTACTGTAAACTATCCATGACGTTTTTCGACTTTATAACGGCAAGTATGGTATAAAGGGGAGTCTCGAATTCATATTACAGGGAAATTTTAGGAATCGTTTATACGTGAACTGTGCCTTTAATCAGGTCGTCTCAGTCTATCGGTTTGGGACCCCAATGCTGACACATTCTCAAGCATCTTGACCGAGTGGGGTTCTTCTCTGGTTAATCGATGATCAAACATCAAATCATTCTTCGAAGACTTTTTTCCCTCTTTTTAGGTCGCTAGTTCCCACTGTTGTGTCAGAATTATAACGCAAAAAAAATGACAAAGATTATTTCTTTCATTGATATGGTTGCCGTATATAATCGATAATATAGAGAAGATTCAAATGAACATTCCCTTGTTCAACGCGCGCATCTGAAGTCATATCTGAAGTCTGAAGTCGCAATTACCGGTTCCTGCTGCAAATTTCTTTCAACTGCGCTTTTCTTCTCAGGACAATACAGTCTCGGAGGTGGGTCTCGATTCGAGGAGTTCTACACACTCCCTCCCGGCTTCTCGGTAGAGAACTTCGATGCAAACTCAGTCCAATTTGATGATTCGACTCCAGCGAAGATGGAACCGTGTCCGCCAGAGTAAGTGCCTCCGTAATTACACACCCTGTGCATCAGTATTTCCTTTTTTTGAAGCCATTTACTAACGCCCTCGGTATTCATGAAGAAGTCTTGTTACTTTGATACGTTTCATTCGCAAAGACGGGGTAGCGGAGTAGGATGACAAAAAGTGAGTAGTAAGTGCAGGGATAGTGACTCAGTTGAGGGCACTACCTTATGAGGGAAAATTTGGTCCATTTTTTGTCATTAGATTACGACCCTACCCAGCAAAGCTTGTTTCTTATTCAATACTTACCTTGAATTGTGGTCTGTTACAGAACCGGTTGGATCGTTCGCGATGCAGAACTACTTTATATTCCGTCACCCTGCATCTCTCGCTTGTCGTTGTCCGCAAAGCTCGTCCGTCCAGGATTCGTAGAATTCTCTTACCGTATGCCGAAGAACAATCGAGCACTTTCACTTCATGTCGATGTTCGAAACCAGCAATGTCAAAGTTACAGGTGAGTGTGAATTCAAGTAAATCAAGGTAGTGGCCAGTGCAGATTTTCATAGTTTAATGATTGCCACTCCATCGAAACAAAATGCTGAGGAGGGAAATTCCAGTACCGTTTGCAAGGTTTCTGTACATTCCTGTCTGTCTGAGCTTCTCTCGGCGCCCTAACTCTCCAATGTGAAAGTTGCATCTTTAACAAGGCCGGGTGCGAACGTCAACCAAGCCGGTTTCGGGGTCCTAATGACTCCTAGTCTAAGTCGTTAGCTGACAATGTTCTATATGCTTCCCTTGAGAGCCTAATAGGATATCTAAGAAACAATTGTCAAATTGTCTATGTCAAGGAGATCAATAATTTATAACGAAAATCGAAATTCCAATGATATACATAGTATGATAGCCTCCAGGGCGACTTTGAGCTTCCGTGTTTTTTTCCGAACCTTATTTTACAGAAATGCCCAAACCTATTTTACCGAAATATTTAAGTGTGGAAGATAACAATTAAAACCTTTATTCAACGAACAGGCTCCAAACCACGAATTCAAATACTCATGGTTTTTGAGAGTGCAAACAAATGCCAATCTTGCGCATTCGTAAACGTGCTAGAGAGGAATTTTATAGAATTAAAATCTGAGGAGTGAAAAAAGCCATTAGCACATTGTTCCAGAGAGGCGATGCAGTCGATGCTCACGAAGTACGCGGGAAGTGCAAAGGCTCATAGAGACGAGTCAAACGGGGACTGGCAGAAACGGACCGTTGACCTTCGAACTGGTAGGTTTGCAGCTTCCCTATATGTCTCGCTAGGTCAGGATGGTTTGATGGCGATGTGCAGAAGGCTCTCATCATCATACTGAACTCGTCGGCCATTCCCGTTCTCGATTATAAAGTGTTCGCAAAGATGCTTGATGGCTTAAATGACTTTGAGTTTCCAGTGACGGATACTCTCTCATTTCATAAGAGGTCTCAGAGACCAATTCTATTCCGGGCTGAACTTTGAATTTCCACAAATTTCGATGAGGTTGAACTCCTTCTAATCTATTGCTTCCCTGATGAATGATCACACTTAAAGGTGCACATCTAAAGAATTCCACTTGGCGACAAAACACCATGAATCTCATCTTGCCTCTTTCATAGTAAGGGTTCCAATACCTCAGGCTCCAATGTCGTAAGCTGGACAGTGACCAACAGCGCTGGAGCGAAGGCACCGTCCGAGCCAATTCGAATCTCAAGAATCGATATTCTCGGCGAGTAATTCCTTCTTTTTCAAATTGAAAAAAAGAAATCGACACTTCCTGTTCTAGGCCTGGCATTCACGCGAGAGTGCTCTTTATGTCCGCCGGGTACTTCATCTGATGGTGGCGCAGCCGAATGTGCCCCCTGTGATCCCGGATTCTATGCTCCGAAAGGGGCTGCGAAATGTGGGCGATGTCCACAGACACATTTTTCAGGTAACTGATTTCGTTGGTTAAGTAAAGCACCTTACTTTTCTACATTTAACCATTCAAGTAAGGTTAAGAAGGCAAAGAAAGATATTCCAAACTCTTGAAGTCTCTACTAAAAATGTTCATTTTTAAAAACAGTTCATAAGGGAGCACCAGACAAATTATTCTGTGGGTTGCCCAATTTTTAAAGATTATCGAATCAGTTGCTTTCCTGATTTTCGACCAATACGAGCTTATTAGCTCGGCGACAAGATCTCCCGTGAGCCAGGTATCATTTCAGGCCCGAAGGCTGAGCACTGCACCGAACGTCCAGCATGTCGTCCAACTGACTATTATCCTGTCACTGAACCTTGTACAAATGGGACGACTCGCACCACCTACAAAAAAGTGCAGCCAGCTGTGTGTCGTGCTGATGTGCTCGGTGCTGCTCCGGTACGTCATGTTCCATATGGCCTTCACCCTTTGCAGCATGCTGGAGGTGTCTGTAGCAGAAGGAATAACTCCTAACCATTGAGAGCATTTCAGCTTCCTGCACCGAGTGCCACTAGAGCATGCCCACCATGCAATCCCGGAATGGCCAAAGATGCGAACGGAGTGTGCGTCTTTTGCCCTTCTAATCACTACTCTCAAGGCGACGGTCAGTTAACTGCAGCTTTCCGATAAGTCAAAGTAAGGATAGAAATATTTCAGCGTGTGTCCGATGTCCGGTCGAGACTGTGCCCATCTATGGCTACGAGTACGTCGAGTGGGATACCACCCCACCAAATATCGTCACCCGCTGCGAATACATAAGTGAAGGTACAGAGCTACTGAAGATTGGATCTATTTTCTTTGTACAAATGATTGTTTAAGAAGTTAATACGGTGTGCGATATCGGGGAGGCATGGTTAGCTTCCGGCACTGCCCTCGTTTCGGCGCCATCTCTACAAAGAGGAATTGCTCTGGAGTTTGAGCTTACAATTACTGAAGGCAAGTGAAGAGTTATTCTGTTGTCAGTCAAGGAATTACACAAGAACGATTTCGAAGATTTTGTTAAACGGAGGATCCCTGTGATCGAGAGGTTATTAGCGTGAAAATTGGGAAATAATGGTCAGAGATTCCGAGTTTTCGGCATAACATGGTCTTTTAAACAAGCAATCATCATGAGTGAATGCAGCAGCTTACAAGAAGACTTTTTCGTCTTCGATGAAGAGTAATCAACATGGGAGCATTCCGTTTGGGTGGGTAAAAACGGTGTTGATGTTCGTGTCAGCGGTGTTTTCTGCGAAATATTTCCTTTGAGAAGCAGATAGATGAAGGCTTTCGAGAGCTAGCTTTTATCTTGTTCAGTGTCCCCACAAACGTGATCTATAATATTTTTTAGCAATCTTGAAGGAATCTAAGTCATAAAGGATAAAGTCTTTGGGCAGAATCAACACCGTTTGAAGGCCCAGTTCACGATAATTTTGGGTAATCCAGATTATGAGGTCGAAACTAGTGCGACTGAGGTGAAGAAACTGTGTGAATCGGTGTTTCCAAAGTGAAAAAGGTTTCTAAAAACCGTTAAAAAGGGGGCTGGACGAGAATGAGACTGGAAGAATGAAGAAGAGTGGGGCGTCCGGACGAGATAAACAGTGTGTTTCACTTCGCGCGTGTGGGTCCTGGTGCGAATAACAGACAATGGTAAGCAAAAATTCATTCACTTATAAGCATAAATAAACAAAAAAACACTAGTAACAGCAAAAGTAGCTAATTTCAGCCTCTAGGAGTAGGAAATGAAATAAGGGATCGCGGCAGCAATAAGAAAAACAGAGGAAAAAAGAATGGGAGAAAAACATTACCTGATCACTCGGTGATTAGCTGATTGTGCGTGGGTCCTAGAAAGAATAATAGCAATCTGTATTGTCTCGACATTCGTCTAACGTGACACCGATCGAGAGGCGGGAAAGCAAACTACGGCAGCAACGGTGCTTCCACTTTTCCTCAAGCGCCGAGATTGTGGGAGCGAGGGGGTCCCTTCTACCACCCTTGGGGAGCGCTGAGTATTACTGAAGGAAGAACTCAGTAACCTTTTTCATCGTGAACCGTGCCTTTGAGGGATGCGCCCCCGCATTAGACATGCATTCAGAATCGTAGCGCGTATTGTGCCTATACAATGACTTACGGTAGTACCAGTTGAGCGACCCCAGAGGTATGGAAGGCTTGGTTGGCTCGGACAGGCATCGATATTCGAACCGGGGACGGTACATGTGTGATAGTGTGTCTTTGGCCACTTCATCCTTTTCCTGGATGGTATATAACCTCTTCGAGCTGCTTTGACACGCTGAATAACAATTAAGCCATTCGTTGCAATGTTTGCAAAGTTGACGATCGTTCTAACTGCTAGTAATGGCGCTGAGCGATATGGCCCACCTAGACCTCGGTGCTATCAAACGTTCCTTCATCTTTTGTTACTATGCAGATCCTGTTGATTCAGCGGTTTATTCCATTTCATATGTACCGAGGAAAGGCTGATGAGAACATTGATATGACAGCCTTAACGATAACGAAATTTAGAAGGTTTGTCTGGAAAGATTTGACAACACCAAATCATCAGCAGGATTGCTGGAAAAAAATTACTCGTTTGAATGGACCATGTTCGACTTTCTCCCGATCTTTGTAATATTATCCTGAACTTATGGGTGTATTGGCTTTCCTAGTAATCAAAATTTTATTGACCTCATGCTTCGGCCTCCTCGTCTTCTTCGAAGCCTGAAGATCATTTATTTGGTTACGAACCCTTCCCTTTTCTTCGAAACAACAGCGTTTTTGAAAGGGCTAATGCTCTCATTATACTTGTTATAAATAAAACTAGCCTGCTCGGTTCTTCCATTGGCCTTCTCGTGAATCACTGATGCTAGTTCTTCAGGTTTCTCCAACCCCTTGGCGCCACCCGATATGCTACCGTCGCCTCAGGCTCCAATAGCGCACTTTTCGATCGTTTTCGAGACAAGCTGTGCTGATAGCTCATGCGTTTTATATGTCATAGAGGTGAGCTATTCCATTTCTCTCCCTCAGAGATCAAATTGTCTATGTCATTACAGAGTCCAATGGAGCACACAAAATCGTCACAGTATCGGTTCCTGGCGGCTTTCAACGGCAGTCAGCCACGACGTGTCTGGTCACACAGCATTCTCAAGAAGAGCAGTGCCAAATACATGGTGATTGCTTACAACCATCGTTTTCAGATAAAAGGGTTTGGGTGAGATCGCAGGATCTGGCAACTCGTTGCTACTCCTGACAGCGGCTGTCAGAGTCTAGCGTGCTGAATTAAGAATTCGCTTCGTTGCGTCACTGCGACAGAGTACAAACGAAAGGGGACTAAGTGATGGAATCCAGGTTTGGAGCGTTTGAAGAAGTGTGAAGCGTTTGGAATTCAAGTTTGAAGAAACAAAGGAACGCCCACGAAGAGAATGATTCAACAAAAGCTAGGTGTTGTGCTGTAACAACGATTGTAACGATCTGTCACAACTCATCTGCCATCTGACATCTGGGCTTGACATATCTGCCTTGATCTCTGTGAGATATCATGTCGGACTCAGTAGATATGAAGGGAGTAAACTTCAATGGAACTAATACTTTCACTACAGCCTGAGGCGATGAACACTTAGCAGAATCTGACTAAACGTGGTAGGGCTAACCTAGCATTGTCATTAATGTGAATCATTATACTATCTCGAACAAGATCATAAGTTCAGGAAGATAAGAGTGGGCCCTGTTTTGTGCTTCCGTGAGCGCTCCCCGACGCATCGGCCACACATTCCTTACGCAGTACGCATACCATCTTAACTTTTTTAAAACTTATCTCGACAATCCCGCACCCCATTTAGATCTATTCGTGGCCATTTCGCAAGGAAATTTATGGGCAGTAGTAGATCAGTGTCCAAGGTAAAGTCACCTCCATCCTTGGTGTCACCCTCATCATTGCAGTCTCCAAAGGTGGAGCATGACTTGAAGTGCAACTTCCATGCCAGTTCCAATCACTTTCCATGTAGACTACTTCCGCTCAGCTTTTTAATCCAAGCTCAGAAAACCCTCCAAAAATGACTTGCTTGGCTTTGAACTAATGTGACCACTTTTTCCACTTCTTTCGATATAAGGCTCCTCAACTCCACGGGCTGAGTCGCTGTCATTAGATCTACGTCTCAACACAACGTTTACAATACAATGAACGGAATATGTTGGAAGTTTATATATGAATATGAATGGCAATGCAATTCCCTTGTAATGGGTAATGACATATTAAGGTAGCGTTTCTGCGTTCTGGAGCAACGTCAGGCGAGGATTCAATCTTGGATCAGGCTCGAATTCTGTCCATAAATGTCACGAATATCGGATCAAACGGAGGAGTTCAAGGAGGTGGAGCCAGCAGATGTCTTCCATGCCCGAAAGGTCAACTTGGCAAATGTGTACCATGTCCACCCGGACACTATATGACACCAAAAGTAAGCAACTGTAAATCCGAGTGCTACTTCATTTGACTATTCATTCTTGCAGGCACACGAATGCGTCGTTTGTCCCATAAACACGGTGGTTAATACTTCGTCTGATCGAGTGGGGTTACAGAGTTGCATAGGGTGTGGGGAGAACTTGCATTCGTTAGATGGAGTCACCTGCAGGTCTGGAGGATTCGTCTCGGTTGTCAGAGATAATCGGACACTCAACTACGATCTGTCATCTTGGCTTGAGAAGTGAGTCTGGGAATTCTTTGAAGATCTTTATTTTCATCGCTCTATCAGTTATTTCTTGCCATTTTTAACTCCTCCTTTATACTTTGGAAAAAAAGCAACTTTTCATGCCCCTCAGCCTTTTCCATCAATCCTTTTTGACTCCACAAAGCCGCCTGTTGGAGCTGCAATTATTCGAGGATATAAAGACAGCGTAAACATACTGCTGGCATATATGCGTAGCTATGGGCAATCGGAAGGCTATCCAATAACTGTCATGGGAAGCGAAAAATGTTGATGGTGCACCTCGTTTAATATGATCATTGCCCAAAGACGTATCCATGACTTCCCTAGAGCTTCCCATGAATCATTTCAGAACATGGACTGCAACAGGCGTGAAGGTGTTTGCGAGAGAAGGAGCTTCCTATTACCATTCTTTCAACTTTTCGCTGTTCGGCAAGAAAATTCAATGTCAAGAAGTGTACGATTCCAGTAACTCCTTCTCACTGAGTGAACAGGTTGTCACTACTTTTCAATATTGTTCATTTACGTCATCATTTTCGTGAGTACCATGGTACAATAGAGGCTAAAAATATCTGTATCCATATCTGGAACCTTTTTGAAGCTTCGTCCTAGAGACATTCTGACCTTTTTTGCTCCTTCTTTCCAAAATATTAGCTGGAATCGATCATCACCACAACTTCAGAACTCCACATATCCAGAAAATGCTCAAGAATTATTGGAAGTATTCTGATAAGCTGCGGTATGCAGGCCATTAAAAAGGCGAGGGCAAGAAGGGTCTCGGTGGTGTAAGGGATCAGAGCACGGTGCCCGGATAGCCCTCATAATACGGCTCGATGGGAAAAAACTTTGACAGAATTGTGTTGTGTTGAGAAGTTAATAACGTTTGACTTACTATTATATGACGTGTAGCAGAGGAGGCCGTAAGACATAGAAAGACTTACCTGAAATGTTGATTTAGGGTCGCGATGTTGTTACCGGTGCCGCTTGTCGACTGACAGTTCTTCCCGATATAGGTACGAACAGGACAAAGCTGGCTTTCGTGTCCCCACTGCTGTGAGTTGAGAATTTGAAATATTTTAGCTTTCAATTTTCTCGATCAGCTGAGGGGAACCATTCACTTTTGAAGGGAGCTGTGCCTTTATGGTGAGCCAGGTTTTGTCGACTTTGAGAGCTGGAATTCTGCTACAGAAACCTTTTTCAACATTTAGAATTGAAGGAGTATCATATAAATCCAAATAATACCGAGATCCAAAACCGTTTCGCGTCTTTTCCCTATGTCTACTAAATCCTGAAGATTCTCATGAGAGTTCGTGAATGATTATATCACAGGCTTGCCAACCGATTGGAAGAGATCGGTGTGCGGAGAACTAGGGACGGTTGGAATTTGACGGACCATCTTCTTGAATACGGTAGGTGAAGAGATCTACAATACTAAATGCTGGTAAGTCGATGTGTTAAAAGCATGATTTCCAGAGGGGATGGATGAAAAATCTCGTCCAATCGACATACATATGTGGTTCGACTCCGTGGGAGCCACGTCAGAAGCTTGCCCCAGGGGGAACGCCCTTGTCGTCACGGCTAGATGCATGCCTAGCAAGAAAAATCCTGAGGTGAATAAACATTGAAACTTTTGAACATTTGTGGAATTCAGGCAATTTCAGATTCGCCTGCCTCACACTTGCCCTGATGGAACCTGCGACGGTTGTCTTTTCCATGCTATCGTAGAATCGGTTCAGGTTTGTATAGGATTTCCGTCTCACGCTCTTTCGGATTGCGGCGAAATTTTCTGAATCCACTCCCTTCAGGCCTGTCCCGTCTGTGAGCCTGGTGATTACGAAATGATTCGAGGTGAATGCACAAATGGACAGCAAACCATTCATCATATACCTGACAAGTAAGCGAGTTACCTCAATACGTCATGCCCACTGCAACTGCTCACCCCTGGAACGGCTGGCGACCTATTCTTTTACATTCGTTAGAGCGCTCTCTTATCATACGAAAAAGTAAGGAAGCTGTTGAATTTGCGGAACCACCTTGTCATGTCGGGCACTCTTCGGATAGAATTCATTCACACCATTCAGGAGAGCTTTCCGTAGGGAACCAGATGGAATAAACTAGCTAGTGTCAGCTATAATGCAAAGCGTTTTTACTATGATCACAGAGATACGCAGAATTCTTTGGAATTTACTCAGTTTCGTTATTATCCCTCTTTTGTGATGGGGACCACTGAAAAGTTTAATAACAACTCTGTTGAATAGTGAGACGACACCGATCTTCCGAAGGGGGGACGGTACATTCGTGCGATTTGGAGTGCGCGCGCAAATTGCGCGGCGAAATTCATATCGATTTTGACGACTTTGGCGCCTATTATTGGGGCTCAAATTTCAAGTATACTAGAGTATTAGTATCAGTTGACTCCACTCAACTATTCTATTCCAAGTTCGTGCCCCAACAGTTGACGTCAGAGTAGTTCGAATCGCCACGACTTTCGCCGCGCACTTTGCCGCGCGCGGCTCGAATCGCACGAAAGTACACACACCCCTTCCGAAGCCATGAGGAAGCATGAAAAGAGGAGGTACAGTGAGTTTACGGCTTTGTAGGTAAGGCGTACTCAGCTCGGCACATCACTGAGACCATGCACAAAACGGACTACAACGGACCATTCGCTGAAAATACACTATAGAGCCTTACTTACAAGGTTGAGAACTTACTGTGCTCCTTCCCACGGTTCCCACTTCACCTTAAAGGATAGTCTAAGGGGGTTAATCAATCTCGTTTGAGGGATGTGTCCAGGCATTCGACTTTACGTATTCAATACGCATACTTCACCATATCCATCTTATCTACCATTTCGACTGCGACCAGCTTTTCTACTTTACCTCGAAGTAGAGCCGGGTTCATGAGAAATGGTCCACTTCGATAGCGGCCATTAAAGCCAAATTAAGTCGAGCAGTCCTTTTCTGGTAGTCAGTTTTGTCAGTCGGGTGAAGTTGTATGTACGTTACAGGCAGAGTACTAGGTTGGCAACTAATTGTGAGAAATTACGTTTTTTTAAAGCTTCAAACATCGCGAGAGATAACCACCTGTTTCTCAAAGTAATTAATATTCATAGACCGAGAACCTCAGTATTCTATGATCAATATTTGGATATTTCTTTTGTAAAAGAAAAAGAAGTATCCAAATATTGATCATAAACCTAAAACCTTCTCTAGAATACAGTTACTAGTTGCCAACCTGATAACCTGTCTGCTTATGAACTTACTTCGAATACCTCTTCAAACAATCAGTCATTCTGATTAAGGCACTGCGTACTGACGGGAAAGGAAGCACTGTCAAGGACTGTAGCCTGTTCAACGCTGTCGGAGAAGGAGAAGTTGATGTTGAGCACTGGCGTGCTCGCTTTTATCATACTCTGCATTGCTCTGATCATCATCTGTCAAAGAAACAGGAGGTGCACCGAGAAGCTTCTTTTCGGAGTCAATATGTCGAATAAGACCTTTTCTTTAGGTTGGAATACAAGTATACTCGCTTAATTGAATCACGCAATGGTGAACTTCCTGCAGCAGAGACTTGTGGTCTGGAAGATGACGAGGACGACGAGGTAAAAGTTACTGAAGTAGGCTTTGGCATCTTTTACAAACACACTGTTTCAGGCAGCCGACAGGGTGATTTTCGCCAAAGGGCGTCGAAAGATTTTCGGTGGTCGAGATACGGAAGCTTTCGTACCTCTCGAGAACGAAGACTGACTTGGGCTTCTACAGAGCCAGCCAGTTTGCTTTCCGGTCATTTCTGTACCCCATCTATTCAATTCTGTCTGTTCGTATCTGGGTGCACAACCGCAGCACTAAACATTTACAGCCTTTGACCACCAACTGATCTCGCTCTCTAATTGCATTCGAAATTCCTAGCTCTGCATTACTTGGGAGATCCGCTTGTTTCTGTTTTGTATCGCTCGCCTGGCTAATGTAACTCTCTACAGTGTAAGTGACTATCATCTGCAGCGTCAATCCCTCAATCAGTGACAGATCAATTCTCGATCGATTGGTTAACCAACGAAAGGACGGAAGCATATAACGAATTTCTCCAAATCAAAAAATGCATAGCGGTGTTCAGAAAATTACGTGCCAACGCGGGTTCCCACAGCGGTCTTCGGCTACTGCACTTATCTGGCTGCTTTCATAGTCCGCCATTTGGCCCGCGAGCGCGCGAGCGAGCGAACGAACGACTATGGACTACCCGTCCGCCGGTATCGACCAAGATTCAGCTGTAAACAAGGGGTAAGCCCCGCCCCCGTCGCTCGCTCGCGCGCTCGCGGGCCAAATCGTGGACTATGAAAGCAGCCTTTCCATTCAGCTGTCTGCTAAGGCTAGATCTCGCTTCACTTTACTTACCTTAGACACACTCTGGTAGTTCTAAGTGTTTGATGCAACCTAGTCAACTGTTAATGTAAATAATGTGTTTCCGAAAGCATATCTCCCGCTGAAATATCATGAACATTACATTATGAATTCGTTTATTGAATAAAGTTTCTAAAAGCTTGAAGCAAAATAGATATCCGGAAGACAATGATAACCCGTATGTCGTATAAGATAAAGTGATTCGAGGAATTCAGGAGCGAAGATAGAATTAAAGGCACAGTTCACGATACAAATGGCTTATGAGATATCCCGCTAGGACAAATCTGTGAGCTCGGAAAACGTCCTCGTCTTATTACGTTATTAAGGCTCAAATATTGTCCCGTGTGTAAGTGGTGGACGAGTTTTACGAGAATGTGGAGGCTGCACCATTCACGACAGAACCCATGAAGGAATATCAAGGAACTTGTCATGACCCATAGCGACGATGAAAGGGAAAATTGTCCTGTAAGGCTTGATGTAGTCAGCTCTTTGCGCAATTGCCAAGGACCCCTTCCATGTTATTTTGATTATGGTAATCTCGTACAACCTCTATTTCACTATTCCTGAGGAGCCCTATTTTTCCTAAAACCGACGAATTTTTTCGCTCCCTTCACCACCGATGCACCACGCCCAACCAATACTTCAGCTTTTCTTCCTGAAGAGGGTACCTCAAAATTACCATGAATTGTGCCTTTAAGCCGACTGAATTTTGAAAAATCAGCTCAGAAGTGAGTGAGCAAGACAGTACTGCTACAGCAAGCGTTTGGAGTAAGGCATTATCGTATTAGTGAATGATTTCGAAATTTCTTTCCTTGACCGGACACAGACGAACTCTGTATATCACTCTTCAACTCGAGTTCGACAGTTTCGTTCGAGAACTCAATGACATGTAGTATAACCAATACGCCATATTGAATACACCGAAAGCCTGAAAGAGTGTAGGGTTGGTGATTTTGTGAAAAAAAAAAGATTTGAAGACACGGCCAGGAGGACAACGCACAATAGGGAATGCTATGCTAGCAGCCTTGTCTATCGCAGCTCCCAGTTCACTGCCTTTTGTTCGTCGCAAACTGATCTCAGCAATACTTCTGAAATGGTTCCTTTAGTTTAGTTTTTCGGAAAATTGCATAGTTTAGTGAAAGGAACTACTTATACCATCGCTTACGTACGTACAATGTTTTTGGGTAAGTAGCCTGGAGAAACCCCTATCACATGGGAACCCTTCATTACTCACAGTGCAGAGGAGCAACCTAGATGACTTCATTTTCCCATACTGCTTAATCTACCAATCATCAGCTGCTCTACGTAAGCATTGCTTCGTTATTCATTTCTTTTTACTTCCTTCCATGTAACCGTCAATGAAACGACGATATCAGACCCCTGGCGGAATAAACGCAGCCAAGGTTTTCCTGACCACTGTATGGATATATACAGAGTGGCATTCCTTTGCCTTAGGGCTGAAACTTTTCGATCATATGACGAGCTATCGCATCAATGGCTGTTTTCTTACTCCACGATTTGGTTCGCGAGCGAGCGAGCGATCGAGCAATTGAGGCGGCGCTTGGCTCTTGTTTACAACAGAATCTTGGACGATACCGCGTGCAAGCGCCGCCCCAATCGCTCGATCGCTCGCGGACCAAATCGTGGACAATGGAAGCAGCCAAACAGCCTCTCTCAAAAAGGTCACAAGTGCCCAGAACACTGCTCGAACTCAAGCATTACTATCTACTCTGTTTGAGAGGCGCCGATTACCGTCTTCTCGGAACACACTGGGCATGTACTATCCCAATCGTTTGTTCATGGCTTCTACGCCGCTCCACCTATCACTATGGTACATGTTACGTTACATTGCTGTATTACGTAACTTATGCGCCTGCGGCATTGAGAGGTTGGGGGTTGTCACAAACATGGTCCGCGGTTCGAATCCTCGATCGATACCTGCTTAGGCCTTTTCACTAAGCCTCACATCACTAAGGGGTTGTTTAATTCATACCAGGCACGAATGGGAGGATAAGAGTACTGACTTGTAATCGGATGGCTCTGAATGGATGGCTACTGCAAGTCATTGTATAGGCCACATCAGCATCCAAACAGCCACTGCGACTCTCAATGAAAGCCGGAGGTGGAGGCACTTCCCAATAATGGGATTGATTAACACCAAAACATCCTTTACATACCTTTGCTAACTTGACTATCGGCTTCATATACAACTAAAAATACATTCTTTAATAAGCCCTTTACACTTATCGTTGTGGTTGCTCACACCTAATACTCCAGTTCCCATTGTTGCTGTCTATAGTAGGTATTTTTTTTGCAATAATTGCTTCACAAAGTAATCGTCGATAATGGAGTAGCACTTGCCTTCGAATCGCTAAAGAACTGCCATTTGCGGTGGATATGGACCGCCCAGCAGCACCTCTTATCCGTTGGTCGGCAATTTTATCATTGTAAGCGACTATCGCTAACTCGATTAGTGAGAAGAAGATAAAGCTGAAACACCAATGNCTTACCCGACACAGCTGAACATCCAAACATCAATTGCTTTCACATATGAAGCCTGAAATCAACAATTAATTTTATGCCCGAGAAAACTACGCCATGAGCATCTGCCAGAACTGTCTTCTATGTAGAGAATTGACTCCCTCGGAGTCTCACAGTGGACTGCGGAAGATACATTTCTGCCGAATGTTTTGTGGACATTGTGGTGAGAGCTTCAGGCCGTTATCACGTCTATGTTAGGATTTATTTGTATCAATCGAAATCCAACAAATTCTTGCAAACGCAAATATGAGTTAGTAAGCCAGACATTACATGCTCTACGGACGGGAACGAATGGGACTTGTTGTGGAATGGACAAGGAAGCCGCCAAGCCGTCACCATGCCAATGAGCACGGCGCAGCTGCAATTATAACCATAGCGTATTGGCTTTTATTGAAAATATAATATTGAATTTGGGGGTGGTAACTTCTGCCCAAGAATCGCGTCGCGCTCACCTCACTCGGTCGCGCGCATCTCGCGCTATGAAGGGAAAGATTTGAAATTCCAGTGAAGGGACACGGTGTTCGCCGTGGAGCCACTGTGCTTGCCGTGGGAAATCGGGGAGAAGTACCGCCACCCGGTGAGGAAGGGATACGATACGAACAGAATGTATAAGTGAATTGTGCTCTTTCAATTCAGCGTAGAAGATTGCGAATTGCGCCAATCGTTTGGTGGTAACAACTCCTCCATATGTATGTGCAAGAAGAACAAATATGCAGCGACTTTGATGGAATGACTGACTGTTGACAACTTACTTTGACTTTCACCATAGGAAAATTGCTGCGCGAACCTTATTTAGATGGGAAAGTCAGGGAAAGTCAGTTTCAAAGGATTTTCTTTTTAGCCATCTGCACCGATGCGATTACTAGAAAAGAAATTGTCCTTCTTGTACAATAGACAATCATATTCTTGAACAGACTCGAAACTTTCTGAAAGTTCTGTTCCCATTTCTTGTACGGTCCGGGACCGTTGAAGAGTAAAGCCGAAATTCTTCTCTTTCTCTTAGACGCGCCACAGAAAACATTTAAATCCTGCTGTGAGAGCTAGCGAAATTGGGAAAAGCGCTTCAAAAGAACAGTTTAAAAAGGGTTTTTTGGTAAAAAATAAACTCCCTAAGTTGAATCTGCGATCCCAAAGGAAAGCATAAGGGACACTGACTGGCCGAAAAATAACTTGGACGGGGCGTTTCAAGGGTCCAAAACCGGCTTAGTTAGCTGACGTACACAAACGAATCGGACGAGCTCTCACGGCGTGGTTGGAGGCTGTAAGTGTTGCAGCATTCTAACCGGGACCGAACCAGTTGCAGGCAGGTAGTGTACTGTAGCCAGCTGTACGCAATGGCACTCACATTTGCGCAGCTCCTCCAAGTACACCTTCCATGCAACTTTTGTCGTCACTTTCCCGGCCAACCCCTATTTTAACTACTTTTTCGAAGCCTTATATTTCTCTAATTACGTCAACTTTCGCGTTTTCTTCTCCACTTTGCACTATAAGGGACTATCACTCTCATTACCCGTCTGAAATTAGATACCCCGAAATTATCATGAGCTGTGCCCTTGAATCGACTCTGCGGTTTCACCTAATTACTTCTCACGTAATCTGTCCTGTTGAAAACTATTCATGAACTTTCCAGTATTTTCAACTATTTAGAACCTGAAGGGCTTCAACTTTGGAAGTACTAACGTGTAAGGTCTGACGAGGGATCATCTTAGACGAGAAAAAAAGGAAGACATACTTATCCTACCCTTTCCAAAGCAATGGTGTTGGTATTCTACTTAACGATACACCCATTTTTATGGCTCAGCTGTCCCATTCCGAACACTGTCCTATCTTATCCTTGATCTTTTCAACGGCAAAGGTAGCTGTATCACGGTATTTGGAAAAAGCTACAGAAAATTTACGAAAGTTGATGACGTGAAGACGTCATGCGCCTTTCTCTGAACTCTTTCAAAGGCCTAGCCATCAAGGTTCTACATGCGGATAGGACTTGTATGCTTTCTGGTTGAGGTTCCGTTGTTATTTTTACATTGCCTCCTCTTATTTTCAAATTCTCATGCCATTTATTCGTAGTCTTCTTGGGGTATAGTTTTGTTATACTCTTCGAGTTTGATAAGTTCTGTTTGTAAATGTCATTTCACTTGTATCGCAGGCGTTCGTCCACGTGCATAGTTTGTTTATCCGCGATCAAATGAATAAAGAAATAAATAAAAAGTTCAGTTTCTTTGTCATACATACTGTGAATATTTCTGAAAGGAGATGTTACGAGTAACGCTCCTCCCTTGATCGTGCAAAACAGGCAAAACAGACATAGTAATTTCATGATATCGCCTCGATTGACCAAATCCAGGCTAAACTTCGATTTTCCTATTTTGGAGCAATAAAATGTTAGAACGAGGCATGCGCAGAACCGCTTAGAAGAGGCTTTAAACCTTTCGAAACAAGATTCACTAGGCCTCAACAGTGGAGTCGCTGGATGACGAAAGGAGTTACGTGTCAAAGTGAAGGGGCACTCTTTGGTCTTGGTAAGATTGAATATGCAAAGAAGGGAAGGAAGCCGGATCTGTTTTGCTTTGCGTACAAGTGGGTAGTGTATACATATAGTAGTAGTTTCAACCAAAGTTGTGAGAAATTTAACGGAATTCTGAACTTTTGCGAACTTTCGGGCAGAATCTTCCCGAACGAACTTTTAGAAATGTACGGCAAACTTCGTTTCCGATGTTTCGCAAAAGTCCATAAACGAAAGTTCAAGTGTAGTTTTTATGTGATGCGATTTGATTGCACGAGGGCGCCATGAAAAACTCCGCAGACCAAATGAAGCTGACGTGAGGTATGCATAATAATTTCAGATCGCTTGCTGGTAGTCGCTAGAGCCATCATCCTATCAGGAAACAAAGCTCTATAGGTCATATCTTTACGACTGGGTGTGAAATGCATGGCGCATCTTGGTAAGTTCATCTACAGCAAGTAACTTACCCTTTGACCTTTCAACGCTCCATTTGGTGATGTATAAGGTGTATAAGGTCGTGCGACGGACTAGCAATAGCCCAAATCATTCTGGGACATTTCGTGAATTCACTATATAAGGGCACTATGCACTTATAAGCGCATTACACAACCAGGTCCCCTCTCCTCACTTATTCGACCTTATAATGGCCGAACTGTCTCATTATGTCCGACACCTACTTCTTTACGAGTTAGAATCCGGCTCCTCCACTTCTAAGTCTACTAAAACTTGTGTCAGAAGACTTTAACTCCATTCTAAGCGGTTGTGTGTACACCTCATTCTAACACTGTGACCGCGACAGAGAATGTCGGACATGAGCACCGATCTGTTCAACCGCCTGCGATGTAAGGAAATTCTTGTGTATGCGCATTCAAGCAGGTAGTGTTCTGTAGCACTTCCAACCAAAGAGCCTCCCGAAGCCCTTACTGAAGGCCCAGTCAAGTATCGTGATTTGTCTGTTCCCGGAATGCTGAAATTTTACCTTGGGAAGGGATTTGACTATGTTTCCAAATTGAAATGTCAGGGCCATCAGCGATGAGACGGACAAAGTGATCCTGGCTGGAAGTGCTCGAGTGTCCATCCAGAATGCGATCCATGAAATGAACACTGAGACGTAGGTAGGCAAGTACATCTATAAAGAAGAAGTTTGCTTAAATGTGACAAATGAAGATTACTTGGCATACTTGAAGAATGTAGAAACCGTAAAGCCTCTCGAACTCGATCGTTACAGCAAGACGGTGCCATAGGCCAGCGGTATATGTCTGGAGTGATACCCATCACTTCAAAAACTTCAAAAAGCTCGACCTAAACCAACCTCCGTCACTGTGTCATAGGTCATGTTTGACATTTTGAAGTCTGGCAAATTGTAGTCATTCTTCACTGTGCTCACCGGAGACCATTCTAGCCACCTCAGAGAGACCTGAACTAATCGAGTAGGTGCAGAGCTCCTTAACTTGAGTGGCATAGATTATGAGAGAAAAAGAGAGAAAAAGCCGAGAAAGCATTGTTGTAAAAAAACTCTTGCTTCCATCTTACCAACCTCGGCTGAGTTGTACGAATAGCTTTCCAATAGTAGAGTGCACTTAATGCTGTCCAGTGGAAATGTTCGCAAGTCCATTCGACATGGTGCTGAACAATGAACCCATTACATAAAAGCATTAGCTCTGTAACAGCAATTCGCACACTAAAGTAAACGAACCTTCTGATCGAACCCGATAGTTCAGCCACACAGTTCCATTAGGGAAGATCATGAGCAAAATGTTTGGTTTGGGAGAATCGTGTACCTGAAATTTCCTGCTCAACTGGGGCTTTTTCAATTTCCAGTTTCCCCTTCCTGTAAAGGTTTGATACCCATGCTCTACTTCTTGCTTGCTTTGAACGGTTTAAGAAACCATAAAGGTGAGTTGCTGTCTTTTTGTCCGAAATACTAGAATCACTTGAAAGCATCTCACCCGCGCAAGGACTTGCAGGCTGGTCAGCGCTCCTAAATATGGTTCGCAATTGTTGAGCGAATCCACAGTCTGTCTCAGACGTATGCTGTCGTTATGGCATTGAAACGGAGTGAAAGCAAAGGGAACCTATCGCGCTTCTTCCTACTTCTTCGTTGCAGTTACTAGTATTAAAGTACATAACTCAGCTAGCTCAGTAATTCGCTAAAAAAGCAGTTCACGACAAAAATGGTTTCTAAGATGTCTCCCAGAATAAATGTGTTGATCTCTCTCCCCCGTATACCATATGTGTCACTGCCAGATCGGAAAACAGCCTAGATAAGATGTTATAAAAGCTGATTACAGAGGCTATGCCACACCCAAAGGCAGACGATTAACGGCGTTGTAGAGTCTGCATCTTTTTCAAGGAAGGCCCATGTCGGAATTACAAACAAGTTGTCGTGACCAGAGGTGACCGTAGAGGGCATCTCGGACAGGTTTGACCTAATGTAATCAGCTATTTACGTAATACCAACATCTGAAATCCCGTCCAAATACCCCTTCTATACCATTTCCATCACGGTGATCTCGTACAACTCCCAGTTTAACTACTTCCAAAGACTTTATATTCCGCGAATCTGGCGGATTTCTCGCTTTCTTCGCCACGTATCCACTATACTCCACTAACACTTTCGCTTTCCAACTTAGAAAGGTAACTTGGAACTATCGTGAGTTCTACCTATTAGGGACAAATGCTATTGAATAGACGCTGTTCTGTAATGTATGGAATCAATTGCAGAGTGACAGACGTTCATCTAAAGGAAGACGGCAAAGCTAAGTAGAGATTGATGAAGGTACATTTCATTATATATAGCGACTCGTGTGAGGGGAGACTACAAACTGTTCAGTCATTGTCTTTCGGAGGCAGTGGCAAAGCACAATCCCTTGGTGCTAGAAGCTCAACGAAGCCTTCTGATCTGACCGTAAAGTCTATTTGAAAATGCACTTCTGAGTTTCCTACGCATGGATGTCAACAGCTGTTCCATTCATGCTCTCACCTTCGTCAGCTTCGAATTGACTACGCAGACATTCGGAGACCACAGCCGGGGTTCCATGTCATGGTCCAATGACAAATTCTTCCTGCATGGGTCCAAGTGATCGAACGCCAACCTCAAAACAAACCAAGCTGATACCATTTCCAACCTGATACCATCATACGAGCAAAATTCAAAAGAAAAATGGCAGGGCATTCAATGCCCTTCTCCCCCCTCAAATCATGCTCACCTGCTATCCAGCCAAATCGCGCTAATCCAGAAGTCGATGACGAACGTCCCGCTTATAGCCGAAATGTCCGAAATGTCTTGTATTGTAATTTCCACTAGTACTTCAACAGGTGATGGCTCCGGCAAAGCATTTCTGCAATAACTTCCTTGATTCATAGGGTACCACGATAAATTGAATTGGCCCAGAGAAGAATAGGCAAAGAGCGAAATATTCAACTGCAAGTAAGTGAGACTTCATATTATATGATGTTAAAAAGATGAGAATGAGGTGCATATGGAAATGTGCACGTGATAATCACCAAAAAGCCGACTCGATAAAGGGCTTTTATTCCCGTTGAACATAATATTAGAGATAAATGGGGAAAATCGTTAATGTTCTATGCTTGGATGATGAATCCCGTAACCGTACATGGTGATGATATGTTTTCTCTGCTTGAGATTGAATAGGAGGCAGGATGATCGAGAAATGCACATCTGAAGGGAGGCGTTAATGAGCAAACCATTAGGCCTACATATAACTGATTCTGAGTGTGGCTTGGATAGTGGCACCCCTTCGAAGCTGAGCAGTCACATTCCTTCGTATTTCAGCTGGACGGACACAGAACACAAATGATTCTAATGGACACCTTATTCCTAAGGTTGTTCTTTCCCAGCTGAGATGCATCCTTTCGAGGACAAATATCTGCTTTTTTTTTTTTTGAAATCCACCATTTTCTCCTCCTCTGCTCCGCACTTCGGAGCTCATCACATACAATGTTTTTTATGCATTTTTNTTTCAGCTGGACGGACACAGAACACAAATGATTCTAATGGACACCTTATTCCTAAGGTTGTTCTTTCCCAGCTGAGATGCATCCTTTCGAGGACAAATATCTGCTTTTTTTTTGAAATCCACCATTTTCTCCTCCTCTGCTCCGCACTTCGGAGCTCATCACATACAATGTTTTTTATGCATTTTTAATGAAAGAGTTGCGAGTTGAGGCTTTGGGCTTGCTTCATGCATGATTCACACACAGAGCATGGCCTGCTGAGCAATAAGCAGCGTAGGCCGCAGGCCGTATGTAACTGAGGACGACTCAGCCCATATCTATCGGCTCTGTAAGACGTGCAAGTGGTTCCCAGTCAGCGCATTCCATTACATCCAAGCATGGCTTTGGAATCGGTGTACATTCGCCCCACCTAATGCAAATTCCGTATGTCTCCCGAGTGCGACAGGGGAATGCTACGCACCAGAAAATATGCTAATGAGTCCCGTCAAGCAGCTGAGTTCGTGTGCTTCTCATTGACTGCTAAAAAGTTTGGGAGATCAAACATGGCTCTGTGAGTTGCTCGCAGTGACTTCAGAGGTTCATTAAAGGTGAATAACCGAGAAGCAAAGTGTAATAAATCAAAGTCAGTGGTGTTTTTTAAGAGCAACAATCAGCAAACACATCAAATATCAAAAAGACAAAGTAACCAGACGGACTAGAGATGGCGTTCCGCCTCTTTACCAGATGGACCACTGCCTCCACCTTCCCCCAAGGCTCATCAGTGATTTGAAGGTCTTACGGTTGCTTTATCACACATTCACAGAACTTTAAAGTTTGTCTTGTGAAGGGTATCTGAGGTCCAAACCATTTTCAGCCACTGTAACCTTTCCCAATGGCGCCTCGGTGAGTTGATAGAAACTCTTTTTGTTTTTTTTTATGATGCATCAAGCCAACCCTGTAACGAACATCAAAAAAAGAAGGCTATTCCAAAAGGCTCACTGCAGGACACGCACACTAATTAATCTACTCCATCGAGCTTTGGAAACGTCGCTACTCCCAACCCAAGAGCTCTATTTGTCAAGGGCATTAAACGGCATGCAATCATTTGAAGATAGTTGTAGCTTTACAAAAAGCAAGTCTGTCTGCCACATCCAGCTTACCCTATCCCTCATAATCGAATGGCAAGACAACCCTTGTGGGTACTATCCAACGGTGGGACCCAAAAGATGGAGGAGGTGCTGGAGTAAAAGTAGTAGTTATATAGGCACAGTTACGAGAACGTAATTAGCGTACTGTCTTTTCCACTTACGTTCCGCAGGCCGGGCTCAGTTATGGTATGGAAATATGGAAAAAAGCGGAAACAACTGTTGTTTGAAATTTATGTAGGACAACAATGCTCGGAACTGACTCCACACTACCGTCGCCATATATTTATACTGAGTAAGATTTCAAAGTTCTCGTCTTTTTTTTCTGCTACCCGCTACCAAATTACAAATTATTCGTTTTTAGAATGACATCTGAGCCGAGACGGCTTCTTAATTGAGCGGGTCTTTTGAATAAAACGTTATTCACCAGAAGCGTTATTGAACCAGCCGTGCACAAGGCCATATGGGACGTTTACTTACTTAGATTTATAGGCTTACTTATGGTTAGATCTATAGGCTCTTTATAGGCTTACTTAGATCTATAGGCTCTGTAGTTATAACAAGACAAACAAGAGTTGGAGTCAGTCTTTGCTCCCAAACGGATTCTCGGATTTTCACATGCTTATTGCTCCTTGTGAGCAGCAATAAGCATGTGAAAATCCGGAAGTCGTCTGGTTTATGCCCCTACCTGCGGAGCAACTTCTGCGACCGACAAGCCCCTGCATACGCCCCACTAATCTTCGACGTCTGCTGGCTCCAGGCCTCTCAAAAACAGTGATGCTCTATCAGAACACTTCCCTGACAATCGTTCTTCAATTTTGGAAAGCAGATTTCAGATCAAGTCAAGACTGTGTGGTAGATATAACTGAGGATGGCCAATTCGTCGTGGGTTCAATCTCAATGAGTTCGACAAGAAAATAGTTGTTATTTGGCTATGAAAACCAGGCGAAATTATGGGAAAGTTGCCAATGTATGAACAAATGTACCTGCTGTAATTGTGCATAATAATCCGTGCTAGGTCTTGCGCTTTTGCTTCTTTATGATGTCCTCCGTCACAGTCTGGACGACGTACCAAGTGGTGAGCTGAAATAGTAGTATCCTCGGAACGACGGGGAACAGTATTGCCTTTAAGCGAGAGAGGAAGAAATGCCAAAAGGAGTTTAAGCAGTGATAATGAAGGGAATAAATAGGGAATTTTCTTTCCCTACAAAGCACCGGAAATTGCAAAGAGGTAAACAGGAATACAGCATGAACTCCTTCTCCACTAAATAAAAACTTTAAGAACACAAAGTGAATGGGGCAAGCCCAACCACGATGAGTTTCCATATTCTCTAAGATCATGCGATAACAATGTTTACCATTTTCCAACAGCAACCATGTTCGACTATCATTCAATCTTGGCATAGTATAGATGTAACTTTGCAGGTCTCTCTGAAGCCGCGCCCAAGATGATACAATGTTTTATTCGGCTAACGTTTCGGCCAGCCGCCTTCGTCAGAGCCTTAGAAACACAGGACATTAGCCGAATAAAACATTGTATCATCTTGGTCGTGGCTTCAGAGAAACCTCCAAAGTTTACCATTTTGACCATTTTGTTGAGCCACTTCTGAAGCGATACATTGAACAAGTGCCAATTTATCCACGTTCTCCTTCTTTATTTCCTGTCGATAAATTGCTGCTGGCGCTCATGTAACGAACTGCCATTCGGAGATAACGCACCCCAACCTCGGAGGCCTTGGTACGTACTTATGTGCCCTCAATGATGTGCTCATTTGCAATTCCTACATTGACGCCTAGCAGCTTTAGCGAGCAAGATTCGGCAGACGTTTGAAGCCCAGGCCACCGATTGAGTTTCTTTGACATTTCCTTTTATGCATAGGACCTTGAGCATGATATTCCTGGCGATTCGAGCTATACCTGATACGTCTACCAGCAAGTGCTGCAGCTAAAGTTTTTTTTTGGTCGTGCTAGATCAGACTCACTTAGTTGTTCTGACAAAGCCTTGCAGAACAGTTCCCCTAAGTGTATCGTGTACACCCAACTCATGGCTGTGTGACCTACCGCGAATCTTTCGAATTTGAAAGGAATGGAAAGGCTCGCAATAAGTGTCAAAAGGAGATTCACTTCATAAATTGTGGTATCTCAATCAGAAACCCTCGACAATCCATTGGAATCCTTGCCCCAGAATGATCTCTATTGAGACCTTCGGTGAAACTTTTCCCCATTATTCCAGCCTATATCCTATCGACATAGAAGAGCGTCTTCAGAATTTCATCATTGCTTTTATGAAGATTCGCTTACTAGTCAATATGCTGCTCTAATAGGCATTTAAGAGAGCATAAAGGAGTATTTTGTTTACCTCGATGAAGAGCGTCCACGCCTGTAGAGCTCGTTCCGAAAACCATAACTTCCAAAAGGAGAGTCTGAAAAAAAATCAGAGCATGAATTTCAATTCGAAAGAGCTATTTGTAGCAGGGAACATAGTATTTGTTTTAAAGAGCCCCTAGGAGCCAAAAACAATCTTGATGTCTATCGAAGCCTTTGAAACGTTGAGTGAAGCCCTAATTATAACCTGAGGCAGAGAACAAGAAGTATAGCCACCAAGTACATAGTCGTCCGGCACTAATCATATCTTTCAACTGCCAAATCATTGGCCACTTGGAAAGTGGCACACATCAGTTTCCGAAGGAGATATTACCATCTGGTTGTCCTGTAGTATGGCCTACCCTGATTAAAGGCACAGTTTATGATAAAAATGGTTCCTGAGATTTCTCTATAGTATGAATTTGAGCCCCCACCTTATCAATACCTGCCGTTATAAGGGCGAAGAACGTCCTGGATAGGGCACAATAAGGAAACAGAGATTGTAGCGTGTGAATGCCACACCCCTGGTGGTCGAGTTTCAACGGCTTTGTGGAGCATGCACCATTCTTAAGGAAACTAATGTAGGAACTTCGAACAACTTGTCATGAATAATATCGACAGTGAAAGGCAAATCTGGACAGTTATGATTTGATGTAGTGGGCTCTTAGCACGATGGAAACAAGTTGAATCTCTTCCAAGAACTCTTACATGCCATTCCTGTCGCGGTGGTCTCGTACAACCTCCATCTCCACTACTTTAAAAAAGCCTTCGAGTGGGGATTTTTCTAACTTACTTCGCCACAGATATAATCCTCTAGTAAACAGTTCAGCTTTTCAAACTAAAAAGGGTACCTCAAAATTGCCGTGAACTGTGCCTTTGAAATTTCATATCGTTCCCA